CGCTGGTTGCAAAATCTGCCAACACGTGAAGATAGATCGTTCAGGGAGACATGCTCCATTACACCCACAAGAGGTTCCATCCGGTCCATTCGAACATGTCGCTATCGACTTCGTTGGCCCTTTACCAGAGTCTGAAGACAAGAACATGATTTGCGTCTTCACATGCCTGTTGACGAAATATGTCATCTATGCCGCCTGTAACGACACCGTTGACTCCCCTGAGCTCGCTCGCCTCTATCACGACCATGTCTATCGCGATCACGGCTTACCGAGGAAGGTTATCTCGGATCGAGGACCCCAGTTTGTCTCAAAGTTCACCAAGGCCTTATACCAGTTGGAGGGTGTTAAGGGAAACCCTTCTACTGCGTATCACCCTCAAACTGATGGCCAAGCTGAACGACAAAATCAAGAGCTTGAGACATTCTTGCGTATTTGGGTCGACTATCACCAAAACGATTGGGCTAGGTGGCTCGCCAGCGCGCAATTCCGGTACAACAACTTGACTCACAGTGCGATTGGTACTTCACCATTCCGAGCCGTTCGTGGCAAGGATCCGTACCATGGCTACAACCCCAGACGCACAGTGAATGTACCGGGTGCCGAAGCTTTTGCCGCGCAACGCGAGAAGATACTTGAAGAAGTAGAAGCTGCTCTTCGTGATGCGAAGAAGCGCATGGTTGAACAATACGACAAACACGTCAAGGATGAAATCCCGTACAAAGCCGGAGAACTTGTATGGCTTAGCGCAAAGAACATTACCACCGAGCGTCCCATGAAGAAGCTCGATCACCAGCGCTATGGACCATTCAAGATTATCAAGAAAATCGGCGCATCCGCGTACAAACTTGCCCTTCCTAAGATCTGGAAAGACAAGCAAGTACATGACGTATTCAACGAGAGTCTGCTCAAACCATACGTTGCACCCTTCTTCAAGAACCAAGTTGTCGCACCTCCAGACCCACCCAAGATCGTTAAACGCAAAGATGGTGCTGAAATCGAATACGAAGTCGACAAGATACTCGATTCCAAGATTGCCGGACGAAAGGCTCATACGAAGCACATGCTGTACAAGGTTAAATGGAAAGGGGAATCCGTGGAAGAAGCAACTTGGGAGCCAGTTGAGAACCTCGAGGGGGCTCGAAAGGCTGT